TTAATTTATTTTAAACCAGACTGTTCAGTCTTTTACAGTATAGCCTTGCAACTGCAAATTCAGTTTGTACCATACTTGCACCCAAATATTCTTAAAATCCACTGAAACACAGAAGTTGGTCTTTGAAAATCCTCCTTGAAGTTTACTAAATGTCTTTGAAGTTTTCACCCTGATTACATAAACGAACACTTTTTAATTAAAAAAAAAAAAAAAGGTGATTAGGACCATTTTCATAACAATGACAAAGAGTGCCTGACAGATTTACTTTTCTTCTAGGCAACCTTTCAGTCAGAGTCAACAGCTAACAAATCTATCTCTGAATTCATGTTGGGCGATATAACTCACTAATTAAGTGTTTCTCAAACATTTCAAGGAACATTCAGATTTTCTGACTGATCCACTCTAAGCACTTCTCTATAAAGAGATACTACAGTTGAGTATAACTGAATAAATTGAGTTTTCTTTTAAGGCATCCTCAATCTAAATCCTAGCATCCTAGTTCACAGTAAATAGTCTTCCTTGATACAGGAGTAACTCGTTTTCACAGTAACTTCCATCATTTTAAGGTTCACTTAGGTGCATTTCTAAATACTTGGCCCTGGCAATTCTCCAACTTATTCACATGTAGACAGAAATGTTTAAGTATCTGTGTACTCTCTATTACTCTGATGAAACACACCTTTTTATAAAAAAAAAACACCCTTGAATCCAGACAGGATAATTCTCTTTGATGAATTAACACACTCAAAGTAAAGAACAGTGGCAGTTCTGTCCTCATGCTCCTTTATAGCTTGTCCACAATCCCCTGGATTTGACTAAAATCCTGTCCAGAAAATTGCATATTCATTCCCCAACCACAGAGATGTCAATAATACATGGCTCATAGAAACACTGCAGAGAACCAGCATATGATCAAACCCAAAAAGTTTATTTATTCAAATCTTGTGTTGCAGCAACTACAGGCACATAGTCTCTGACAGTATGTGAACACTCACCTACCTGCAAAAGGACACAAATATACTTTAATCAAGAGTATCAAACCACGTAAGGGCTGCAGTAGCAGTATCATGCCAAAGCAGAGGAGATCTAATCAAAGTACCGGACAACCAGGCTCTTCTGTAAAACCCTCCCAGGAAATCCTCTACTGAGCACTGAAACTTCTTGCAGTCCCACATCTGTGGAGGAAGGTTTCTAGGTCTCCTCTACCCTTGGCAACCATGTCAATCAATGCAACAGACCCAGATGTTTTACAGTTAACACACACTCAATTCACTCCTGTACTGAAATTTCTGTTTGGACAGCCCTACCTGAACCCAGACGTTATATAAAAGAGTTCAGTATGATCAACTGAATTATAATACAACCACATGAGATGATTAAAATAACGTTTTCCAGGTGCCAGATATCTGCCATCGTGTTTGGATAAAGTCAGGAATAATTTACTCCTTGCTGAGCTTCTAATCCTGCCTCCTCAGAATATGTCAAAACTGATAACCATGGCAGACACTTACACTTGATATCTTTATTTTCTCAGTAGCATCAAAATCTACAAACTGCAGTTCTAGTTGTTGCCTCCCTCTCCTGAACTGCCCTTCCTATCCGTTCATCCCCCACAGTCCTCCTCACCTCCCCCAACATGTTGACACAGGGGAGTTTTAAAAAGGAATCAGAATGAAGTACACTGCACAGAAGGGAATTTATTTTAGCATAGGCACATAAGAAGAAACACTGAAAGAACTACTTGAATGCAAGAACTCTATTAAAGTTATCTTAGCTTTTATCAAAGTTGAGGTATTTACTTCGTAAGATTTCAAGTCAAAAATTTTTTTAAATGCAGAGTTAAGGTACCACAGTACCTGTATAGAAGAAAAATTGCAAAACCTTAGTAAATTTGCAACATTTTACGTCGATCTGTGGGTGCCCAAACACATTAGTGCAAAAAGTGGTCTATTTAGGAATATGCGGCATAATGCAACCCAGCTCTTTTAAAACTATCTGTAAAGGTATTACTTCTGTGAAAGGAAGTAATATCTCATCAGAACAGAGGGAGTATTGATCTGGTAAATGGCAAAATACAGCATCTTCCTAATCTTTCACCTTCACTTCTCTCACTATAGCATATATTCAGAATATATTTTCTAAAGCATTTTTTCATTCTCTTTTTGTTCCATAGGATCAACAAAATGCTTACTGTATTACCAACAAAACCACCCATGCACCAAATTTTGACAGAAAACAACCTGGTTAAAATTCAGACTATCAGAAAAATCTATTTTAAAAAAAAAAAAAAAAAGAGTAAAAAACTTTTCCTCATGAACAGAAAAAGATTAATTGTAAAATAATATAATGAACAATGCAAGAAAATAATTCTCAATTACCAACACCATGCAACAGTAAAAACCCAAAGTAGCAAAGACTAAAAATACTAAGTATGGAGGCCAAACTATACCCAAAGCAAGCTAAAATGTCTCACAAGCCTTCGAGAAGTCTTCTATTTATAAAACAAAGAACATACAGGGCACTCATTTCAACCACATAAATTTGCACTGCACCACAGTAAGTAATTTCAGATATGCTGCCTAAGTTTATAAGACTGTTCCTGTCTGGTTTCAAACCTGCCTTATATAATAACCTTCATGTGATTCAGCACTCTCTATCAATTTCTCAGTTCTCTCACACAGCTCTCCTCACAGCTCATAAATACCACCCTTTCTTCACACCCTTCTCTCTCTTCTTTTCTTTACCATTGCAAATTCCAACTTAATTGATGACATCTAACCCTGTAAGAGCTAGAAAAAAAAGTCCTAAAAAAACTATGAAAGTAAAACAAGGAAATGTTACTGCTTCTTTATTTTCAGTCATCTGTATCTCAGAAAAAAAGATAATCACAAAGTATAACAAAGCAGCATATAAGGGTGACCAAAATACAACACAAACTTAACTTTTCTTGACTAAATGGTTTCTTACAGATGCAAGGCATTAGAGATAACAAAACACAAGAAACCCTCTCATTTGGGGCGAGGAGTGGGAATACCTGTCTCTAAACTCAGTCCAGGAAGCTTCCCACTGCCAACTGCAGACTAGCTTCATCATCCAGTAATAAAATGAAATATGATTAATCTGTAATTTTTATCGGTATCAGCAAAAAAAGTTTTAACTGAAAGATGTTTTTGGACTCTGTTTCAGGATCTTTTTCATGCATATAAAAATTAAGAAAATCTCCAAAATTGTTAGGGAAAACATCCCACTTTGGACACATTTATAAGAAAGATCACAATGAGATCAAGTAGCATAGTATCCTTTCTAGGTGAGGTCAATCTGAAGAGTATTATTGGAGTTTTGTGGGTTATTTCTTTGTAGAAGTCAAAATGCTCTTCTGTTAGCTCCAAATAATGCTCTCATGCTTGTAACTGGAATTGTCTGAAATTACCTCTGCATGGTAAAACTCTTGAAATATACACAAGAAAGGTATGTTAAAATATCACGACACTGCATACAAACAAATTGCTTTCAACAAGTCAAGCACAGATCACATGTTTTACTGCCATCCGTGTACTTGAAATGGAACGGCAAAACAATCAGAGTTTGCATTTATTTTAATTGAAGATAATATTCTGAGCCACACTGAAACACTCTGTGCCTATGGAAATACATATAATCATTTACACTTCACTCTGAACTCTCTGAAAATGCAGGGTAAATAATTTACTAATCATCTATCACTTCTAATAATGAGCCAGTAGAACAAAAGCCAGAAAAAATAATTCAAATCACAAACTATTCTAAAATGCTTAACATGGGAAGAGTACAAACAACAGGAACTATTACAACAGATGTTTAATTAATTGGTTGAATTCAACACTCATTTACAGCAATCTTTAAACTAGATCTCTGAGAGCATGTAAGAAGTAAGAATAGATGAATGCTTTTATTCATATTGTTGTAATTTTTAAACTACAGGGGTTATTTCTAAAAAAAATACTTCAAAAAGGCTTGGTGTAAAAGTGACACTTGTACAACTTCTACTGGAGCAGGGCCTTTACAAGATGATACGAACAATTGTCCCAGGACTCTTCAATTTGACCCCTCCTTCCACATGCCCAAAGACACTTATTTCAGTTCACTCCTCTACCCTTTATTTACCCTGCCTTTCTCCCTTTCCACACCCCCAAATGGGAGAAGTTGTCACAGGATTTTTCAGAACATACTTATGGTCCCCATAAAATGCAAAGAACAGAGAAATGTTTTTTTCTCTAATGCCAGTATATACATGGTATTGATGTCTTTCCAGACTGAGCCCTCACTATTTGAAATATGCACTTATGCACACGTTTAAGGAAAACAGCTGCTTAAAAACCACACAAGTATCTACTATGTTGCATGCTTTCCTGCACTTCTGTCTAGATCACCAGCTTCAAATTATTTCATGCAACAATATAATTAAGCTAACTATTACTGACAATATTGCTATAAGTAATTTCTTAATTTGATTAATTTAAAGTCCTTATACCTCTACATAACCTACACTAGCAGGATTTTTTCCTTATTTAAGAATGTTATCTAAAATACTGAAAGGGACTTCAAACAATTTGGCATCTATGGAAATGAAGAGCAACCTGAGAACATTTTTTCCCAGTACAAGTCCAATACCTGAACAGCAGCTTTCAAGTGGTTATGATTCTCCATACATATATCCAAGTGTTTATGCTTTCATAAGAAAAAGGATAATAATAATTTTTTAAAAATCTAAAACATGTCAAGTTATTTGATCTGCCATTTCAATAAGTGGCATGAAGATTTATCTCCCCTTAGATTTATAATAAATTGTATGTATAGGTGAACATTTCTGTTAAGATTTAATTAGTACACCAAAAAGTAATTGCAGGTAGATACTCCAAACTATACTGAAATTAATTTGTTTTAGAAACGGAATCATTTACAGCAATACATTAAAAAATAAAAATTAAAAAAAAAAAAAAGGAAAAGCAGCATATACAGACCTTCCAGTAGTCAGATTGTAAACTGTAGTACCTCTGGTATGCAGATAATGCTGTAGGAAAGAAAAATGAATGTTGAATTTGTTTTGTTGCAGTTTCTCTGAAGAAAAAGAAAACCTTAAGAGTCAAAACACACAACATTAAAATGATAAATGGTTTAATAAAAGTAACACTGCCACAATAAGTACACTGTTGTGGGTAATGCATTCCTTAAGATTATAATTTTGTTTTATGAAATGTCAACCCAAAAGTATATTTATTATTAATCTTACAAATGTAAATCAAGCAATATTTTAAAGAAAACCTATAATAAAGAAATAATTTTAAATTTTGGGATTTTCATCCTAGATAAAGCTGTTGTAAGATTTAAAAATTTAATCATGTAGCTCATTTACCATGCTCCCTGATGTCCTGTAATTTCTAAAGAACTGGTGTGGAGGGACATACAAAGAGAAATCAATTTCACATGCCCTTTCCTTCAGTAACTGAGAAACAAAAGCAAATGGAAAAAAGCTTACATTTTATTCAACGTCTAAGACCAAGACTAACCTGGAAAACAGTGCTAAGAACAGCTCTGTTCAGTAGAATATTATCTCTACTTAGCAACAGATTTCTCAAATCATCATTCCTGCATCCTTCTCCACTAAAAATTCTGGTTGATTCATCTTGCCCTTCAGCTAACAGGCCACATCAGACTACAACACAAACAGGCTTTACATTCTTATAAGAACACTGCATTAGGCACCATCCAAAAATGAAGACTTTTAAATAATGATTCACTGCAGTAACACCAAGATTTTGTTTTTTCACATGTTTGCTTCTTAAGAGTGGTTTCTACACAGTATGTATTTTCCGAACAGCAAAAGAAGACGACCTCTGCTTTAAATAACTACATACTCTAAACAAACACTAAACAGATTAAGACAGTAATAACAGTATGTACTTTATGTGCAGGTTCATTTCCTGCAAATACCATGGATAAACAATGGTCCTAAATTTTATCACCCTTTAATACCTGTCTTGCATATTCATTTCAGTGTCTTCACAGAAGTCCTTAAGTTTAAATGAAATAAGAACATACACAAAATGACAAAGCACAGAGCTGCTTTTTCTTCTTAAAAATGTACCTTTGCACTCACCTGTGTATGGAGATTCACAACCCTGTATTTTCAAATGTCTAAATGATACATGCTGAATCATGCCCATAAAGTGCCCCTCACCACTGGAACTGCCTGTGAAGTCAGCTTCTAATTTTGGTGCTCTAAACTGTGATTTATTTAAATGCACAAGAGTAGAAAAAAAAAACCAACCTAGGAGAACACTCAACATCCTTACACTATCGGCGTGCAATATGTGTAAATGTTTACATGCAACTTAAGACAAATAAAATTACTTAATAATCTAGTCAACCAGGCTAAATCTTTCACAGCTTAAGAATACAATTCCTCCCCCACCCCCCAAAAATATTTGGTATGGACTGAAAGATATGACTGCAACAGTTCAGTCACATTCTGTAAGCATGTTATAAAGGATGTTCACAATAACACAAAATAACTCCTACCCCAAATACTCCTTCTAGATTCACCTTCTTGCAGGTATCATTAATGACTTTCAACAGAAAGGCATAATTAGTTTTGGACGTGGGGACAACTTTGCTTTCCAAAACAGGTAAACACATACACACTGAAACAGTTTTGTAATGCGCCACACTTAAATAATTTATTTTTTAAAATCAAGCAGTACCTATCCCTACTTCAAAGGTTAAAGTATATGTCAAATATTTAAGTCAACAGCACCATATTATGCAAGATTTAAGAAACTGGGGACTTGTAATTTTTTTTTATCAACTATTTCAGTCAATTATACAGGATATATAGATAAAATAAAAAGATTAGAAGAACATTAAATACAATGCTAAGAATTTATACAGGGAAAATAAAAAGAACTTTTTCAGTGTGGCTCTTAAAAAATAGAGTACCCACATGAGCACATCCATTAAATACGAGAGCTGAAATGTATGTTTCTCTGTTTCAGTTAAGGTACTGCTAACAAGTTTATCAAACGTCAAAAGTTTAAAAAAAATTACAAAACTAGAGAAGCTACAGAAGACCTAAAAAGGAAAGAAAAGAAACAAAAAAAAAAAAGGGGGGGGGAGAAGCCTTACTGCTATTCAGTGACTAAAACATTCTTTATGCAAGTATAGCAAAAGGGTGCACACACTCAGGCCTTTCTTCTTGCTCCGAACTCTAGTCAGAGCACGCGCAGCCCCTCTTTCCCAGCCAGAGACAACTAAACAGAGGTGAGCAGCACTGAAAAGGGGGAGAGAAGACATCTGAAGTTATTCACTTATTCAGACCAAATAAACTCCAATAGTCAGGGGAGGAGGAAGATTGGGAGGCACAGGAAACTAGGCTCCACTGATGTCACTGCTCAAAGAAACTTGCCCAGAGAAATTCTAGCACCACCATTTAACACAGGGAAAAGTTCTTCTATTAAAGAAAGGAGTACTTCTTCCTTGATATTCTACCAGTTTTCCTTAGAGTGCTGGTCTGCAAATTATCTTCTTTTGTAACTCTTCCATTCAACAAAGTTTAGCAACTTCCCATAGTAACAGTTGAAATGACAGCTTTAATGTGCCAGGCTCATGTTACAATTAAAAACAAGTCCATGGAAAGCATGAAATGCTGAAGCATATTTCATGTTTATATGAGAAGAAGATAAGGCCTTCATTCTAAGGACAGTCACATTACTCTTCCAGAGGAACAGAGAAGATACTACAGTCTTCCTCCTAAGTGTCTGAAGGGCCCAATCCTACTTCTGGATTCAGCAACCTCTTCTATGGATGTAGTCTTTCCTTTGAGAGTAACAAGATTCTGCTTCTAGTTAACTTCTTGAAGATTAAATGCTAACATTCTCCATGTTGTCCTGAAAATGTGTAACAATTAATCATAGAGGAATCCCTTATCCAGGAGCTAAACATCCCTTTCCTCCTCATTAAAGTTATACAACTAGAAAACTGTTATTCATGCCCAGTTTCATTATTTAACAGGTGCTCAACTTAGTTACCTGTGAAAGTTTAATTCAGTCCCCTCTACATCTAGATTAAACAGCTGCTCTACAAGCACTCAAGCTCTGTGGAAAAGGATTGAAGGGACAGGCGGAAAAAAAAAAAAAGAAAAAAGGGATTCAAGAGAGCATTTTTTTTCCAGAGCCCTCACAAAACGTCCCTAATCAAGCATATCCTTAAGAACCTTGCATATAAGAAGAGGCTAGAAATCAAATTATGAAAGCAAGATTTTTTGAAAACTAAACCAAGCTACTAGTATTAAAGCACAGAACATGAACCATGAATTTGTACCCTACCATACTTCCTACTCCCTGAGTGAGTTACCAGTAAGTGGACATTTACCCTGAGTTCCATGGTGCAGAAATAGAGTATCTTACCTAAAAAGTGTATTATGGAACTACAAGCAACTTCTCCCTTAAAATAAGTGTTTAGCTATAGGAAATGAGCACAAACCCCTCAAATTATAAACTTTATTTTAAATTAAGAAATAAAGAGCAAGTGACTCTGCAACAAAAATTTTATACAAGTCCCTATCTGAAACACAGGCTATGTTTCATCAGTGCTATGATTCTAATTATGTCATGACATTATCTGGTTTAATAAAATGTGGAAAGCAAGTCACTTGTGTCACGCACCACATTACTAGTAGTAAAAAAAGCAACAGCAAAACAAACAAAAAAAACCCTAAACAACACTAAAGGCTGTAATATTGTTTGCACCTTTACTTTTCATCCAAGACCTTGTCATTCCAAGGTGAGACAATTTTTGTCAGAGAAAAAAGTTCTATGAACTACTGCTCCTCTTTAGGCATAGGGTAAACTCTCATTTTTATGGATACAAGTCAATTACCCCATTTCAGTTAAGACTTCCTTTTGTAAACATAGTGAAGTGAGTGTTCTGAAATCACTCTTAGACATAGCAGAATTCTGCAGACAATCTTCTGATTAGGAACTTATTATTGAGCTTTTCTAATCTAAATGTTTCCCACTGAAATTCTTAAACATATGGAATTGTTGGAGGTCAAATAGATAAGATGCTTTTTCCAGCACACAAAACATTCCTGAATATCTAGAAAATGCATGTCCAGACTCAGAAAGAACAGGACTGAACGTCAACAATAGGACAGTATTTCTTTCTTGACTCTTAACTATGTTCATAAAACGATCTAGTCAACCACAAAAAACTCTCTTAAAAGCACAAAGCTGAGAGACCACATTCAGACATCTAAACCAGTATTGGACAACTCAAGATTCCTAAAAAAGGTGCTCGTAGTTACCAATTGACATCCTTCTGCACAGTATTTCATTACTTACTGCATCGGTTTACACTCTTCCTATTAACATTTCTCTTCAAAACCTGGCAACTTACATTATGTGCCTAACAGGTAATCATCATGACCAGGCTCTTAAAAACTCTACAAGCTACTGATAGCAGACACAGCATTTACCATCTTACCCTGAATCAGGGAGATGGGGGATGGTGGTATATGCCCTGAAGGTGTATGTAGCTTTTCAGCTCAATCACCACCAGATATATTGCTTGATAAGAATAAAAGAACGTTTACCTAAAATAGCTCTGAAAAGAAATACGCCATCTTTCCACCAAAAGAATTAAAACTACTGGACAGTAAGAAACCTCCTCAGCACAGACTCACTTCAGAATCTGTCTTTAAGCCTCTGCCACCTAATGCAGAGCTGACCCTCGATGAGTTAACACAGGCAGAGTCTACTGGTTCCCTCTTGCAAGTTTTTACAGCTACCCAGAACCACACACTTTGCAATACCTACAGTTACTCTGACACTGACAACCTTTATTATGTGCCCCCTAAGAGTTTGCCTTCCTCTATTACTATGGCTAGGGTCAAGGGACATTGATACTGGTTTCTTATTTGTCCCTGTTTAAGATTCCTTGACTTCACATATAGAACACAAAACAGAGTTTACATAATTATCATGTATGTGGTTTCAGGATGTGATTTAAAAAAAA